TGACTAAAACCTAATAATGAAGAGCTTGTTAAGGATTTATCTCACAATGATTCAATTAAAAAAATCTTTAAAAAAGAATATGGACATCTTGGGCTGGAGAGAGAATACAGTAGGTAAGGCACTGGCCTGGCATGAAGCTGACTCCATTAGATTCCTGGTACCTCAAATCATCACCAGAGCCCAGCCAGTAGTGGTCCCCTGAGCACAGAACCCAGAGGAAGCACTGAGGACAGCAAAGTATGATGATGATGATGATGATAATAATAATAATTAATAATAATAATATCCACATCTGAAGATGTGGGAGCTTTGACTCAGGGCCAAAGGACTGAACTCTGAGCAGATAATTCCCATCTGATTAACTCGAGATGTTTGAGACACTCTATAATGAATGAGGCCCACTCTAAAGGAAGATTTCTCTCCCTCTGCCTCTCTGCATTTCCTCTCTTTCTCAGCCCTCCTTTGAGCTCAAGCTCTCTCCTTTAGTTCTCCCTCTAAAGACAAATCTTCCCTCAGGAGCCTGGGATAAAGAGCTGTTCAGCAAGTCTGCCATCAGACTGCCTTTGAAAGGAGAGCGTTGAAATGGGGCCACTCTACCCCTCTGACACGCCCACCCACCCCCCACCGTCCTTTCCTGAACCCGGCCCCCAAAAAAGCAGAAAATTCTACAGAGTTGTCCAATGGCCTCCCGCAGTGCCCGCACACCCACACTCTCAGACAGGAGGGGGCTCGTCTTCCGGAAGCTCAGGGATATGGTGACTGGCTTTCCCCACAGGCGCCCCGTGTGAGAGGAAGTCGGGGGTTTGTGAAGACAGGGAGTGGGAAGGCGAGACAGCAGGGCACTTCCGAATGCCGCCACCGAAGAAGTTGGCTGGGACTCCAGAGAACAGGATTCTGAAGTGTCCCTGTCAGGGGGCGGAGACTGTGCCCACCCACGTCCATCTGGCTGGCCAAGAGGGGCTCCTAAGGCCATCCACTCCCACTATTTCCTCACAGAGATGGAGGCGAGGCTAGTCGGGCAGGTTACACACACACATACACACACACACACACACACACACACACATGCCCTGCCCTGCTTGGGGGGAAGGCAACACCAGTGTGCCTCAGAGCCCTGAAAATAGACTCTCTGGAAACCCCCGCAACCTCACTTCTAAAGAACTAAGCAGAGAAAGTGAAACTACTGCCTCCCAGAGGCATCTGCTGGTCCGGTTCATTGACAGCACTGTGACTCCCAACAGCTCAGATAGGAAAGTACCCAAACATCAGCGGAGGAGTGGGCAAAGGAAGTGTGGTGCAGACATGCAGCGGAACACTATTAGGAAAGCAAGCAAGCAGAAAGATAGATCAGGATCTCGCCTTGCAATCGCCAGCCCGGGGAACCCCCATATGGTTCCCTAGACCCCTTTAGGAGAGATCCCTGAGCAAGAGCCAAGAGTAAGTCCTGAGCACCACCAGGAAGAGGAGGAAGAAGAGGAGGAGGAAGGTAAAGAGGAGGAAGAGGAGGAAAAAGAAGGAGGAGGAAGGAAGGATGGAAGGAAGGAAGGAAGGAAGAAGGGACGGAGGGAGGGAGGGAGGAAGGGAGGGAGGGAGGGAGGGAGGGAGGGAGGGAGGAAGGAGGGAAGGATGAAAGGGAGGAAGGAGAGAGGGAAAGAGGGAGGGAAGGAAAGAAGGAAGGAAAGAAAATTCAATCATTTGTGACACCATTGAGAAATCTCAAGGTGCTAGAAAGATAAATACCACCACATTTCTTTGAAATGAGAACTCTAAGAGAGTTAAATGTGCAGTGGACAATAGAATGGGGTTACCTGGGGTGGGGGTGAGGAATCTGGATACTTCTGCTCTGCCTAGAATAAGAGATGTATGAGTTGAGCAGGTTCCAGACACCTGTTATACCACAAAGGAAGCAGAGGCAACAACAACATACTGGACGCTTGGAAAGGTGTTATGTCTCAGTCAAGTGGCCACTCACAAATACAAAAAAGAAAACCCTGAAAAACAGCGACACGGAGGAACATTTTGGCCATGAAAGATAAATTCATTATCTTGCTTATGGTGAGGGGAATACAATATACACTCATGTCCAAACATCAAATTGTATGCAATTAGTTATATGCGTTTTATTATACCAGTTATACCTCCACAAAAAAAAAAGAATAAAAAGGTCCTCATTTGTGAAGCCCCAAGTTGAGGTCCCAGTACCCCCAGAAAATAGAAGAAAGGATCTGGAGAGATAATACAGCCGACTGGGTGCTTGCCTTGCATGAGGCCAACCCGGGTTCAGTCCCTAGCACCCCAGATGGTGGTTCCCCAAGTGAGTCCTGAGGGCAGAGCCAGGAGTAAGCCCTGAGTACTGGTGGGTGTGGGGAGAGGGAGAATGAAAAATTTAGAGAAAAATTGTTTAAATGTTTTACCTTTGGGTTACACCCAGTGATGCTCATGGATAACTCCTGGCTCTGCACACAGGGATCACTCTAGTGAGGCTCAGGTGTGCTGGGGATCAAACCCGTGTCAGCCGCACTTAAGGCATTTACTCCACTGTACTATCTCTCTAGCAGAGAAATAAAGTTGTTTAACTGGGTCGTTTGTTTATTTGCTTTTGGCTTTTTGGGTCATACCCAGCGATGCTCCTGGCTCTGCGCTCAGAAATTACTCCTGTCAGTGTTTGGGGGACCATATGGGATGCCGGGGATTGAACTCAGGTCGGCCATGTGCAAGGCAAACTCCCTACCTGCTGTACTATCTCTCCAGCCCCAAGTTGTTTAATTGTTAATAAATAAATTTAAACTTTTAAATTTAAAATTTAAAAATGGGCTGGAGCGATAGCACAGCGGTAGGGCGTTTGCCTTGCACGCAGCCAACATGGCCGACCCGAGTTCGATTCCTCAGCCCCTCTCGGAGAGCCTGGCAAGCTACCTAGAGTATCTTGCCCGCACAGCAGAGCCTGGCAAGCTCCCTGTGACGTATTCGATATGCCAGACAAAGTAACAACAAAGTCTCCAATGGAGATGTTACTGGGCCCGCTCGAGCAAATCGATGATCAACGGGAGGGCCTTTACTTACTTACTTACTTAAATTTAAAATAGCCAAAAGGATAGCACAGGTTAAGGCGCTTGTTTTGTACGTGTCTGATTCTGGTTCAATCCTCAGCACCACATTTGGTCCCCCAAATGCCAGGCGTGACCCCCGAGCATGGCTGGGTGTGGCCCAAACTACACTCTCTCTCTCTCTCTCTCTCTCTCTCTCTCTCTCTCTCTCTCTCCCTCTCTGCTGTTTCGCTGTTGAACTGGCCTGTAGTATCCGCCGCTGTCTGTGTTGCAAACATTCTCATCACCACCCACGTGAAAACTCTGAAGGCAGACGTGGGAATCAAGGGATGAAACTGGCTCTCGTCTTGCTCCAAGATAACCCCAAGCGTTCCAGGAGGGGGTGCGACAGACGTGCTCGCAGCTGTGCCCAGCAGTCGCCTGGCTCACGTGACCCTGATCCTCTGTTCTGTGTTGTGTCAGTGAAGGGGACTGCTCTCCAGGGCACGGGCGGTTTCCTCCCCAGGAAGGTCCATCTCATGAAGTGCCTTGCCTCCCCTCGTCCCCGTCACACGGGCTCACCAAGGTCAAACTTTTGAATCCCTCGCGTGATTGCTCTAAGGATGATCTTGCTGGGCCTGATAAGCTCCGTTCCTCTCCTCTGATAATGGTGCTTCATCGCCCATGTAACGGTCAGCCAGTGCCCCTCAGATCTTATCCCCTGGCCCTTACAGGCAGCATGTGACGCAGGCCCGGCTGATTAGAGCTCCGGTCTCCTGCAGAGAGGGAGCAAGGCCCTGTCTGACACTCTGCTTGGAATGACTGTCCAAGAATTCCTCTTCCCCTCGATTTCTTTTTGTGTTGTTTGTTTTATGGGAGGGGGGCACACCTGCTGGTGCTCAGGGCTGACTCCTGGCTCTGTGCTCAGGAATCACACCCGGCGGGGCTTTCAGGGATCATACATGGTGCCAGGAAAGGAATGCAGGTTGGCGGCACGCAAGGCAAGTGCTCTTCCCACTGGGCTCTCCAGCCCTTTGCTGCATTTCCAGGCTGGGAAAGGGAAATGGGGAACTACGGGGAACAGAGCCTCAGAGAGAAGTCAGTAGACTGAGAGGGGAGATGGAGAGGAACAGAGTTCAAACTCAACCACGGAGCACCCCCACCCCCGACAGAGCCTTCCTTCTTCTCCATGGCAAACGCCCAGTAAGAAGACCCCTTTGCACTCTGGTCACTGACCACTGATGTCACTGTTCACTCATTTGTAAGCAGGAGGTGGCAGGCTGATTTGCAGATCAAAGGAGCGAGGCTTTCGGACACACCCTCTGCTTTGGTCTTCTTTGGCCCTCAACAGAGTTCAGTGGGGAAGTCACAGTGAAGAGGACTTCACACTGACGTGGATTTGGGATAATGTCTCTTTGCTAGAACTTGTACAGATGTGAAGTTACACTGCTGTACATCCGAAATGTACATGAAATGCACCAATGTTACTCAAATTTTTTTAAAAAAAGGAATAAAGAGGAATAAAGGCATGAAGAGGAACTTTTAATTAATTCATTTTAAGGTTTGGGGCCCACTTGGCAGTGCTCAGGGGCTACTACTGGCTCTGTGCTCAGAAATAACCCCCGAAGGTGCTTCGGGAGACCACATGTGCCACCAGGGATTCAAACCAGGGCTGGCCACGTGCAAGGCAAGGGACTTAACCGCTGATCTCTCCTCTCTGGCCCTCAAGAGAATAGTTTTGGGGTTTTTTGTTTGTTTTGTGTTGGTTTGGTTTTGTTTTTTTGGGCCACACCTGGTGATACTCAGGGTTTACTCCTGGCTTTGCACTCAGGAATTACTCCTGGCGGTGCTCAGGGGACCATACAGGATGCCTGGGATGGAATCCGGGTGGGCCACGTGCAAGGCAAATGCCCTAACCACTGTACTATCACTCCAGCCCCTTGAAGAGAATGTTTTTTAAAATAGATTATGTTGGGTCCCTGTCTCCACAGGAGCCGAGGATGGATCCCAAGAAGAACTGGTCTGAGCAGCAAAAGGCACGAAGTGGGGGTCACTTCAGGATCCGGATGCTCATTTTCTGCTCAATGTTCATCTTCTCTAACGACTGAGGAGAGTAGGGCAATCGTCAGGAGGCCTGAACCCCAGTCCCGGGAACTTTCAGCCTCTTCTTCCCTTCCCCTCGGCCCCGGGTGCCCTAAGAACCTGCCCTCTCCGCCCTTTCTAACTTCCTTTCCCACTGTCGTTCATCCCAAGGACCACCTGCCCCCCGCCACCCTAGCTTCCTGGGCCCAACGGGCCTCCTGACCTTGGTGAACTCCAGGAAGGACACAGCCCCATCTCCATCCTCATCAGCCTCCTGGACCGTGCGGTCGGTGATACTCTCCAACTGCTCCTCCGTCACCTGCACCCCGACCATCAGCCGGAGCACCTGGGGGAGGAGAAGGGGAGAGGGTCACAAGAGAAGTTGCCGAGACCCACATCATCCCCAGAGGAGATCAACCACTCAGAGTCTGTGTTTCGTCCATGCTCAGCCCAGTCATGTCTCGCCATATCCCATCTTGCCCCCCATTTCTCCATCCAGCCCCACCCAGTGCTCCTCGTTTCCCCACACTCACCTCCACCGTCTCCCCAAGCCCGTGACCAACCCCCAGCCTTCAAGCCCAAGGTGAGCTGCCTCCTTTTCTCCTGACCTCACCCACCCCCAAACCCTCCCAACCCCGTTGCTGTTCTAAAGGCACGATCCTCTCAGCCTCAGTGCTACTGACAATGCAGGGGCCGTGGGGAGTATTGGTTGAGAAGAGGCCTGGATATTGCAAGACAGGGAGCTGCAATCTGACTTCTAGTCCCAGAGGGATAGGACAGCGGTAAGGGCGTTTGCCTTGCACGCAGCTGACTTGAGTTCCATCTCCAGCATCCCATAGGGTGCCCGAACTCCACCCAGAGTAATTCCTGAGTGCAGAGCCAGGAAGAACCCCTGAGCATTGCCTGGTGTGACCCCCAATAAAATTTAATTAAAAATTCCCAAAAAACAAACAAACAAACAAAAAAGCAAAACCAGAATACAGGGGCTGGAGCAATAGCACAGCAGGTAGGGTGTTTGCCTTGCACACGGCCAACCCAGGTTCGATTCCCAGCATCCCATATGGTCCCGTGAGCACTGCCAGGGGTAATTTCTGAGTGCAGAGCCAGGAGTAACCCCTGTGCATCGCCAGGTGTGACCCCCCAAAAAAATCAAAAATAAATCCTGGGGGCTAGAGCGATAGCACAGCAGGTAGGTGTTTGCCTTGCACGCGACCAACTCCAGTTTGATGCCCAGCATCCCATATGGTCCCCTGAGCACTGCCAGGAGTAATTCCTGAGTGCAGAGCCAGGAGTAACCCCTGAGCATTGCCGGGTGTGACCCAAAGTGCGGAAATAAATAAATAAATCCTGACTTCTAGCCCCTGGCTGTAACAGTCCCCAGAAACATCTCCAGCTACTGCGAGTGGTGTTTGGGGAAAGATCCCCTCCTGCTGCCCACCATTGGCTTCTGCTCAAGCTTAGTCCCAACAACACCCCCAACACACACACACACACACACACACACACACGCGCGCGCACACACACACACCAACTCTTGCAGTTGACCCATAGGCCATTTCTCCCCTTGGCCCTTCCCCTGGTTGTGTGTCCAGCCCCTGTCAATTCCCCCCCCACCCCTCCCAGTGGCCCCTTGGACCCCTCCACATCAACCGCTGCCCTTTTGTTCTTCCCACCTGCAGCATCTCATGTTTGGAGATCTTTCCATCTCTGTCCTGGTCATAGAGCTGAAATGCGACTGGGGAGAGAGGGGAGGAGGAAAGGAAGATGGTTCATCCTGGCTGGGTTATCTACCAACAAAAAGCCTGGAGTGTGTGTGTAGGAGTGGGGCAGGGGGCAGGGGAGTCAGCAGAGCTTCCCAGGAGACTGGGAGTAGGTATCTGAGAGGGAGCTCAGGGGTGAAGCTCCCTGGGTTCCATCCCTGGTACTGCACAGCGTCCCCTGAGCACCAGCAGGGAGTGATCCCTGAGCACAGAACCAAGAGTAATCCCTGAGCACTGCTGAATGTGGGCAAAAAGAAAAAGAAAAAATAAAGATTGGAGGTGTCTGAGGCCTCTGACCGGGTGGGAAATCTAGGGGTCCCGTGCAGGGGCGCCTGATGGTCCCCAGAAACGCACAGCGAAGTTTGTTGGTTCTGCTGTTGAGGGGTTCGGGCTGCTCCGGGTCGCGGGCCCCCGAGCTCTCCTCGTCCACAGGTCGGAAATGAGCAAGGACGCGGGCGAAGTCCCGGAAATCCACTTTCAGATTCCTGGAGGGGTCCGCAGAGGGTGAGCGGGGCCTCCCGCGACTCCGACACCCCCAGCCCAGCCACCCCCACTCCCGGGGAGGCCTCACCCATCGCGGAAGAAGCTGTCGATGATGCGGTCCCCCAGGGGGTTCACAGCCAGCGCCCCAATCTGCTGCAGGTCCACGCGGCTGCACGCCAAGGAGAAAAGGGGGTCAGGCTGGCGGCCCCCGAGGGGAGGGGTCAGAGAGAGCGTCCGAGGGGGCCAGAGCAGCGCCGCTCACCTCAGGTAGCCCTTCTTGTTGCTGTCCAGGGCCCGAAAGCGGTGGTAGAGGCGGAGCAGGCTGGCCTGCGAGACTTGGGGGGGGGGGGGGGGATGGGTGCCGTGAGGCTGGGCCTGGACCCGCTCCAGGGGCCCCTTCCTGGGATATGCGGGTTGCTTGCAGGAGAGGATGTTCCAGGCAGAGTCCATGAGGTTGAAGGGCGCATGACCCTCCACACACGCACACACACCCCACCACCACCACCAATGCGTCCCCGTGTGACTCCAAGGACTCAAGGGACCAAAGTCGGCCCCACCCCTCTGTCCACAGTCTATCAAACTCGGCGTCTCCTGGGCACCCACAATCCCCAGGATCCACACTCTCCTGGAACCAGAACCCTGGGCCCCCTGGGTAAACGTCCCCAGGCCCAGGACCTGGATCCTGGATGCCTGCATTTGTCCAGCTTTAGTCTCGCTGGACCCCGGGTGCACTGAGCCCCTCCTGGGTCCAGCATCCTGCCTGGACCCTCAGCCTGTGGCAGCCCCCCACCCCTGGGCTGCGCCTCAACAGTCCACAACGGGCCCCAGCCCCGTCCATCCTCCTGCTGGAGGCACCCCCCCCCCCATCACCACCACCCAGTTCAGCCCAGCTCACAAGCCCACACTCCGCTCACCACCTGCCCCCAGCCCCCTGCGTCCGGCTCACAGCCAGTCCCTGGTGCCCCGCGCCCCGCTGGCAGCTGGTACCCTGTGCCCCATGCCGGGCGTCCCACTCACATCCCGCACTCCGCACCCCGCGTCCGGCTCAGGCCCTGCACTCCACACCCCGCACCCCGCGCCCGGCGCCGGGCTCACCCCCTGCACCCACATCCCGCGCCCCGCGCCGGGCTCACACCCTGCACCCACACTCCGCGCCCCGCGCCGGGCTCACGCCCTGCACCCACACTCCGCGCCCCGCGCCGGGCTCACCCCCTGCACCGCGCCCCTCTCGCCCCCGGCACCCACGCTCCACCCCGCGCCCCGCGCCCGCTCGCAGCCTGCGCCCACCCCGCGCGCCCCGCGCCCGTGCCCCGCTCACAGCCCGTCTCCCGCCGGATGTCGTCCACGTCGGGAATCGTCGCGGCGCGCGAGCTGCGGGAGCCCATGGCCGAGCCGCGGCGGACCCAGGCGCGCTCCCCTCCGCCTCCGGGCGCGGCCGTCCCCTGGCCCCGGGGCCGAAGGCCACAGGCCTGGCGGGGCGCCAGCCTGCCGAACCCCGGCGTGCCTCGCCTCCCACCCGCGACCGGGGCGGGGAGGAAACAATGCCCGGGACGGCGGGTCACCGGGGCGGGCGGCTCCGCGGAGTGGCCGGGCCGGGCGGGGCCGGCGGGGCGGGGCGCACCCCAGCGCGGCCCGCGGGGCCCCAGGGCTGGGCTCCCCCGCCGCGCCCGGCCACTGCCCCGCGGGGGCCTGGACCAGCCCCGAGACCGAGCCCTGGGGAGGACGGCGGGCCCGGCGGGAGCGAGAGCGCCGGCCCCGAGTCCCCCGTCCCGCTCTGGCCCGGCCCAGGTCGGGGGACTTGGAAGCTCCCCCAAACGAGCCCGGAGGCGCGCGCTCTCAGGCCGGCTCGAGGGGACGCGCTGGTGCCCGGACTCGCATCCTCACCCGAAGGATTCGGCTTCGGTCCCAGCGTGCGTGGAGCGGGGCTGTCTCTGTGGACCAGTCCGCAGACTGGGGTTCGAGTGCTGCTGGGATTTAATGGAGTGGATTAGGTCCAACATGGAAGCGTCGCTGGGGCGGGAGGGTTAGTGCAAGAGTAAGGCACTTTGGGTGCGCAGACCCGGTTCAACCCCTGGTACCATATTGTCCCCCAAAGTGGGTGGCTGCAACTCTAGAGGGTCCCAGAGCACCCCTCCCGCCCCCCCAAGGGACCGCCCCCACACCCGACCCAGCAGCACCACAGCCCAGTCGGCCTAGAATCCAGAGGAGACCACCCCCCCCAAAACCTGCTTCAGAAACCCTCCCCTCCAAAAAACGAAAGTAAGAATCACGATTTAAATTAACATCTAGACTTCACTCCTCCTTAGAAATCAGTGGCAGAGAACAGCAGGCGGCTGTTCCCCTGGCTGGGGTCCCAGCCCCAGGCATCCCCATGGACCCCCACCCCTAGGCCTCCTGAAAGCCTCTGATCAACCCCCCAGCACGGCCAGCAAGACATACAGACATCAAGCCTCAGATAGCAATAGTGGCTGCTGGGAGTCAGGACACAGGGACCCAAGTTGGATGCCCCGGGAGCCATTCTCCAGTCTTTATACTGGACTGCTGGCCTGCTTGGCTGAGAACTGCCTCTGGGGCCCCCCTAATGTCTAAGCTCCCCCACTGCCTCCAGTAGAATCAAAGCCTCTTTAGGTGAGGACTAGAATGAGGGGCTCCCTGGGAATGGAGCTAGCGGCACCCTAGTGTCCACTTGGGAATGGATGTCACACCTCTTCCCCCATCCCGATCACCTTGGGCGCGGATCTCCCCAGAAGACACAGTGCCAGAGCTCAAATTCCCTGGGAACGGAGAGACAAGCAGAGAAACCTTCTCCTGGCCCAGCCTTGCCTTGGAGAAGCCTTGAAGAACCACCTCAGAAGCTTTTGTTTCTCTCCCAGAGACCCCCCAAGGAGTCAACAGCTGCCAGAAGGAACACTTGATTTTCTTCAGACACCCCCCATGGACTGACTCTTGCAGGGACACACCAGCTCCCCCGGTGCAGCTGAAAGCACCCAGCTGTGAGTTGGGCTGTGAGGGTCCTGGCAGTTTAGGATTTGATTCCTGAAAGGGACAGAGAGAGAGTCCCTGAGGCACATCACAGTCACCCACAAGGCCTTGGGAAGACTCCCTCCTAGTCCTAATCCCTTAATTAGCATCGCAACTTCCCCCTTCATACCCCAGTTTGAACAACCCAAAAGTGAGGACTGCCATCTGGGTTCTTTCCACATGCACAAGGAGGGCTTCGATCCCTGTCCCCTCCTGGGATCAAAACCGCACCCACTCTGCGGCCGCATCTTGCCAATTGTATGAACTCCTTGGAGGCAACGGAAAGGGAAATGTTTGGGAGAGACTTTCACAGTAAGATCTGTTGGTCTGGATTCATGCTGAAGGGTTTTTGTGGTTGTTTAGTTTTGCTTTTAAACTGACTGTGGTGGGAGAGATAGCTTACTGCAGTGGGGGTGTGTGTGTCATAAGTATGTTTTGCATGCACGAGATCCAGGTTCAGTCCCCAGCACCACATGTTCCCCTGAGCACTGCTGGTCGCAACTCCTGGGCACACCAGGCAGGAGTAGCCCCTGAGCACTGTGGGGTGGGATACAGAACATACGAAAGGAAAAAGAGAATGTCATAATCGTCCTGGATGAAGAAAGGCAGAGAATCAACTGGAAAATGGAGAGGTATGATATAGTCGGGTAAATAGAGGACAGTACCAAGAAAGACAAGTTTCAAATGGTCATGAACATTACCCAGACATTTCTCCAGAGGAGGTGTGCAAATAGCCAATAACTTCAAATAGTGCTCATATCCTTGGTCACCAGGAAAGTACAAACGGGGGCCAGAGCAATGGTACAATATGTAGGGCACTTGCCTTGCACATGGCTGACCCGGGTTCGATCCCCGTCATCCCAGATGGTCCCTTGAGCATGGCCAGGAGTGATTTCGGAGTGAAGAGCCAGGAGTAAGCCCCCCACCCACCCCCCAAAAAAAGAAAGAAAAATACAAAATACAAACCAGAATGAAATACCACTTCACACCCACTCCATGGTAACATCCCACCCAGCCTGGTTCAAATTCCCATTTGCTCACCAGAGAACCGCCAGGGGATATTCCTGAGCCCAGAGGCAGAAAACCCTCTCAGTTCCTCCAGGTGTGACCCAAACCCACACTTCCTCCACAAAAAGGAAGGAAGGAAGGAAGGAAGGAAGGAAGGAAGGAAGGAAGGAAGGAAGGAAGGAAGGAAGGAAGGACAGAAAGAACCAAAGAAAGAAAGAAAGAAAGAGAGAAAGAGAGAGAGAAAGAAAGAAAGAAAGAAAGAAAGAAAGAAAGAAAGGTGAGAAATAGAAAGGAGAAAAAGAGAAAGGCAGAAAGAAAGAGAAAGGAAAGAGAGAAAGAAAGAAAGAGGAGGAAGGAAGGAAGGAAGGAAGGAAGGAAGAAAGAATAAGAAAATCTATAGAAACAAAGTAAATTTGTGGGGCCTGAGAGATAATACAGTGAGTAAGATGCTTGTCTTGCACACAACCAAGCCTGGTTCCATCCCCAGCATCCCATATGGTCTTCTGAGCACTGCCAGGAATGATTACTGAGTGCAGAGCCAGGAGTTAGCCCAGAGCATCTCTAGTTATGACCTTAAAACAAAACAAAACCCAAAGTAAATTTGTGATTGAATAGCCCTTGACTTGTGCTGGGGGAAATGAGTTATAATTAAAGAGTATGAGGTCTCTTTTACTTTCGTTTTATTTTCATTTTTATGTTGGTTCACACCCAACAGTGCTCAAGGCTACATCCAGCTCTGTGCTCAGTGCTTTCCAGACAGTGCTCAGGATCAAATCCAAGTCTCCTGCACACAAAATTTGTTCTTAGCTCACTGAGCTTCATCTCTGTCCCCTGAGGTTTAGTTTTATTTGGTTCAGTTTGGTACCAGGGGCGGGGAGGAACACACCTGGACGTGCTCAGGGCTTATTGCTGGCTCTGTGCTCAGGAATCATTCACAACAGGGATCAGAGGACTGTATCTGGTGCCAGGGACCAAACTCTAGTGTGAGGGAAGTGCCCTAACCACTGTACTATCTCTCTGGCCCCTGAGGTTTATTTTTTAGGTGATAAAAAGGTTCTAAAACTGACTGATCATGATTGCACCTATCTGGACTATAATTATACTAAGTTCACTGATTTGTACACTTCTTTAGGTGGCGAGAAAATGTTACAGTGAGTGTAATATTTTCAAGGTTCACCCATGTTCTGGCAATACCTCATTCTTCTTCCTGACAAAACAAAAACAAAAACATTCCATTGTCCAGACAGATAACATTTGTGTATGTGCCCTCAGATGGCGAGACTTGGGGACTTCCCCATTCGTGAATACTATGGATAAAGCTGCTGCAAGACTCAAGGACAAGTTTAGGTTTGCACATCTGTTTTCCATGTGGGGGCCCTTGGGGGCATCTTTCCAGGGGTGGACTCATGTCTTTGCAGGTTAGCAACAATATGCTCAAGGTTTACTCCAGGCTCTGTGCTCAGGCATTACTCCTGGCGGGGCTTGGGGGACCCTAAGGGATGCTAGGAGTCAAACCCAGGTTGACCAGGTGCAGAGCAAACTCCTTACCTGCTGTACAGTCCAGCCCTTGACTTGTGCACTTTTAAGTTGCATACAGACAAATAACTGCTGATCCAACTGTTTAAACAAAACCACACAGGAACATTGTATGACTGAAACGCAATCATGAACAATTTTGTAATGCTTTATCTCATGGTGATTCAATAAAAATAACCAAAAAATTAATTAAAAAAAAAACACTAAACAGGTCAGAATATAGCGCTAAGGACTGAAGCACCAGATGTCCCCAAGTTCCATCCTTGAGAACAATTGGGCATAGAACTGGAGGCCCCCCAAGCACTGGGAGACCAGCACAACATCACATCAGGGTCCGAGAGCTGAACTATCAGACTGAGAGTTGCTGGAACAGTCCCCCAGTGCCCCTTTGAGCACCACATGGGAAGCCTCCAAAATATAAAAAAGTAAGTTCAATAAGTAAGAATAGCAAGGAAAGTTCTGGAAGATCAAAGCAATGAGGGTAACATAACTAACAGATTTTTAAATATATTACAAAGGTACAATAAGTCTTGTGATAATAGCGCCTGAATAGACAGACAGCTAAGACGCAGACATGGAACTCAGAAATAGTCCCAAATACATATGGAAATTTGGAGTATGATAAAAGTGATATTTCAAATCAGTGGGGGGTGTGGATTGCTCAAAAAAACATCATTTGGGACATCTGTCTTTTTTGGGGGATTAGGAATAAAGCTGTACCTCAGGTACATTAAAGATTTAAAGTTGCAAGAAGAAACCAAACCATCTTAGACAGAATCTGTTATAATTTGAACAGAAGTTCTTATGCAACAAAGCACAGAAACTGTCCAGAGAAGAATGGTGAATCTGACTGAATGGAAATGAACATGAAAGGAAAAAAGAAAAAGGAAGGAAGGAAGGAAGGAAGGAAGGAAGGAAGGAAGGAAGGAAGGAGGGAGAAAAGGAAGGAAGGAAGGAAGGAAGGAAGGAAGGAAGGAAGGAAGGAAGGAAGGAAGGAAGGAGGGAG